TTTTCCATTTTCGTGTTGCCAGTCACTGACAACAGAAAATCGAGATCGAGATTGAAAAAGGGGGTTGCCGACCATCGGACCCGAAGAGGGAAACAAAATCCCATGTAGACCAAAGAAAATCTAGACAAAAGGCGCGTGGGGTTTAGTCGGGGTTTTGTCACCCCCCAGCGCCCCTCGGTGTGAGGCGTGTGGGGGAACAGTTTGACAAGACGGGGGGACGCAAAACCGGGGTGAGCTTCCTCCACCCGTCCCACTCACCTCGCCCCGTTTTCTCCTCCACCCCCAACTTCATCCTGGATGTGGAAGGAGATTCCCCGCGGAGCCGACTGCCTGGCACAGCCAAGCGACCTGGGGAAAACAGCAGCTGGGAACGGAAAGCTCAGGCGGTGGGGGGGGCAACAGCCAACGGGGAGGACTTCTTCAATTTCGACTGCGCTATTCTTGGATAAGAAAGTGGCCAGGGAAATAGAGAGATCGCATCCACCCATCGCACAGCCAGGCAGCTGACTGCGCTGCAATGGCGGACTGCACCGCTCGCTCTCATCGCCGCTTACCGTCGCATCTCGTGGGCAGTTTATATTGCCTCGAGATTGCCCCGCGATAGGGTTGGCGACCCAAAATAACTGCCCAGTGTCGTAGGCTACGCGAGAGTCTGTCGGCCTTTCGGTGGTGGGCGGCTGGTTGTGGGGTGGTTGTACCGGAGCCCATCACATGCCAGCATCGCGAATCACGCTTCTGTGTTGCCCGAGGACCATTTCAAGTTTTTGGGGCCTTCGCCTCGCCGACTTGTGACTCAGATCTAGGACTGACACGCAGACTGCAAGACGTCGGGCTGCATCACCAGACTTGGATGCTCGAGTCCTGGGGCGAAGGGTAGAGCGGGAGTCCCGGAAAGGGGAGGTTTCAAATGAGGGGTATGAGACAGGCTGAGGGCCAGCCCATCATCAGGAGCTCGGCGAGAGGCGATGTCGTCGTCGTCGTCTACCGCCGCTTTTATCATCCAAAGGCAGTTGCGCAGACGCAGCAACCGCGAAAATGCCTACGGCCTCCCGTTTTGCCATCCCCCCATAACTCGTCCGCTTCCAATCACTTGCAAACAATGTCTGAGTCAAGCAAAGCTGACATCCCGTATTTTGGCCCAAGTTTGACTGGGTGAGGCGAACATGATGGCACACACAGCCTGAATGTGCCACCGAGGCCGACTGCCAATCGTCTTGCGGTTTCGTGTCTCTGCTGAATGATTGGCGGTTACTCGATATGGCCCGGCCTACCGAGGCACGTCGAGGATTACGGAGGCGGGGAGAAGGGGGAGGCGAATACTTTAAACTCATTGGTACAGATCTAATTCAACGATCTCGAATGCTACTGGACCGGCTCACAAGACAGACACTCACGGAGCACAACGGGCGGTGGGGGGCCGAGAACCGGAGCCATCGGCGCACCGGACTCAATCTGGTGCAGGGCCGGTTCCCGGTACGCCACCCGGAGAAATGGCTCCACTTTTCCAAAGAAAACGCAGCCGTAGCACGGGGCGAAATAAGGCCGGCTTCCCGGTTTTGTTATACTAGATGCTGCCATACCTACTCATCCCCAGTCGTGCGATTCGACCTAGTTGGCTGGCCGGCCACGGCATGCTTTCCCCAGTGTCCCGTCCACGCGGGACCTCGGTGCGCCCGGGGCACAGCAGCGAGGTTGCTATGTGGGACAGGTAATGTACAAAACAGCTCGCTGGCGGCTTCATCACTTACTCGGAAACCCAAAGACCAGCCGGCCTTGCCTTGCCTGGCCGCGCAGCGTGTACGCATGTATCACGGCATCGTCATCGCCTCGTCTTGATTTGGACTCAACACGCTCTGTACGATACACAGCTCTCTTTTTGCTGACTATTGCATCTTTGCTGCCACGTTAGACGACAGGAACACACTGGAAAAGGCCCATCTCACAGAGGCCACCTCAGGTCAGACATGGTGTCGGATAGCAAGACCACCAGCTCTCGAAAGTGCAAGACATTCATATACAAGACTGCTATTGTAAGCCGATGCATCGCCCGGCCTCGTTAGCGACGGGCTCGGGCACATCTATCCACGCAGTACCGCCCGACGCCAACGACTTCGCCGAGGTAGACAGTACATTAGACGTAGTCTAGTCCTTTTGTCTTGTTTTCTGCCAGGCCTGCCTTGACACTGAGAAGCCGAACCACACACCTGAAGCAGCAACTGTTTCTACAACTGTTTCTAGCGCATGCCTACTGGGATCTAGGAGAAAGGATGAAGGACCCGTCCCTACCATCTCAGAAATAGAACTCAAACCTCCGGCCTGCGAACAGGCGAACGAACGGCTTCTCCGAGCTCCAATCATCCCACCCATGAACCCTGGCCGCGATGCCTCCCCCCCGTCACGTACATATCGCTGGGTCGTGTTGTATGCGAACCATGGGAGCACTACGTTGCATGAGGGCTCGGCTCCCTTCCTCTATGGCTCTTTCTTATACGGTTGAGCATATACAATAAGTTTGAGGTTGATGGCTCATGCCAAAGGAGGAAGGAAAATAAGAGAGGAGAAAGATGATAAGTGATGGCGGCTACGGGGCAGAGCCTGAGATGCCCCGCCTGGATGCCGAAGGTTGTCGGAGGTGTGGGAGCGAAAGGGAGGGGGCCCAATCTACGGCCACATCGCGATGCAATCACGTTATTTCTGTCTGGTCGTTGAAAGTCGATTCGATTTTTGTTTTGGGTCTCCCGCGCTGCGCGACAAATGGCATTTCGCGTGGGATAAGAGTAACTCAAAGCGGGATGAGGGAGGGAGGAGTGAGGGGAGAGGGCCAATATCACACAGCTCTCTCGTGACGAAGGTGTGATGCGGTGCTGGCCTGGCCAATGGCTGGCGGTTGCACCAGGGACCACGGCGTTTGTTTCTGTTTCTGTCGAGGCGAGTCTTGTCACTGCAGGCAGCGGGACACGGCCAGTCCATACAGAATCCATACAGCACCGCACATGAGAATACCACATTTGACTGTCGTGACCGAGAGCGGTCCTCGTCGGCGATTCGCAAATGCAAGTGCCAAATTGGACCAGAATGCAAATGCAAAATGCGCAATCCGCCCGTCGGCTTCGGACAGCGGCCCCTGGAACCTGCTGCAAGTTAAGGCAAGTAAAATGCCCTTGGGGCTGCGCGGGCAAGTCGATAATTCGAATCCTATCACGCCCGGCAGCGGCATCGGCGTCGAATCACAACTCGCCTTATTTCTCCTCCCGCCAAGCCAGACAGACAATCGACAACTGGATTGCCCAACCGGCAGGGCCTCTATCTCAGCTACAGCTGCAGTGAGAAGCTAAAATCTCCAGCAGCATCGGGGGTACCTATCCGCTGTTCTCTCTCGGCCGTTCATGCTCGAAAGTCAAGTTCCTGACCGCAACCCCCAAATCCCCACCACTGTAAGTCCTGCCCGCACTTTTCTTTTTGAACGCTGGCCGCCCTTGGGTATTTTTTTCCCCGACGCGTTCGTGCGTTGCAAGTTCGAGACACGTGTAAGGCACCTATGGATGGCCAACCCCCGTACGCGCCACATGCAGACTCCCACAAACACTGGGCCTGTCGTGGGCGCTTCGCTGTCGCTCCCCGGCTTTTGCCCTGCTGCGTCACTGCCTTGGTGGATGAATCTCTCGACGGGGCGATCGGCGGCCTCGACTGGACGCCTTGTCGACAGCCTGCTTTGAGAAGAGAAAGGTGTTGCCGAGTTGTGCGGAGCCACCTCAGCTGTGCCAGCTGGCTGGCTGGCCTTGTGTTTTGTGTGGGGAGTGCTGTTGGCCAGTTGATTGAGGGGGGGGGGTGGGTTGGGTTGAAAGGCAAGATGTGAAACCTTGTTGGTAGAGACTGCTGGCTTTCCGCGGCGTTGCTGTATCTTGTGATGCCTTTTGTGGTTGAACTGTACCTGACCAGCTCAGCGATTGTGTTTATGTATACAGATGGCAAGTTGCTGTCGAGGAAGTAAGGCTTGCATTACTAGTAATCACCAGTAACCACTTTCTGAGCTCCTGGGGGATAGGAGTTAAACTAAGATAAAATACATTGATACCGTATTTGGCATACCAACGGTTTGTAGTAACATGGAAACAACACAAAACAAGTTGCCCAAGTCTTCTGACAGAATATGACACTAGGTGACGAAGGGAAGTGTCTGGCCCACAAAACCTCCGGTATGTTTGTCTGCCACATCATGTAAACGGCTCTGGTAGTACGTGATACATTCATGTCTACCAGCGAGCCGTCACTTTCACTTTCGCTCTCACTCTTGCTGCTGAGCGTTGATGGAGATCTCAAAGTCAATAGTTATGATGTGAGATGCGGTAGAGATCCCGGGAGCATGTCATGGTATACTACCAGTCTATGAACTTGGTGAGGTGAATTGACAATTGAACATATCGTCAAAGTATGATTAGTAGACACACAATCCGAAAGACTTATGTGCTCTCGAGGGAGATATGCCCCAACGTTGCTGTCTTGGTTGGCCAAACCACATGACTCTTTCAACTGGAAGTTACCAATATATTGGAATAATGAAAGCATGCAGTTGACAGATGTTGGCCTTCACCCAACCTGGTTTCTCTCGGGGCAGATCGGCTGTGAGACGATAAATTCTTTAGACACCAGCCCGTGACATTTGCTTTATATTATTGTATACAACTGACTCGGAGAAAACTATATATAGTTCTCACATGAGCAGCGAGAGCAGTCCGCTGGCTGTTACAGGACATTATCGGTCCTGTTTCTTGACTCAATCCCGAGAGACAAAGCAAGGTCTTGTCATGTTAAGTAGCCTGACCCCTCTGAGGAAGTTGAGAGACCCACGGACATCGTTGTCTTGATCGCTCCTGCTTCCCATGCCTTCGCACCACAGTGCCCACATCATCTTTGCCCCCCTCCACCCCCTCCACCTCCACAGACGCCTATCCGCGAAAACCCAGTCTAACCATCCGAACCTCCAACAAACAAGAACCTGCGTTCCGATAGCTCAGTGGTAGAGCAATCGACTGCAGCCCACCCTCCATGGTCGGAATCGATAGGTCAGGCGTTCGAACCGCCTTCGGAACTTATTTTTTGCCCGCACGTCACTAATTACTACCACAGAGTGCCTGTGGCCCATTAGCGGTGTTGCCTTGGACTTTCCAAAAGCAAAGACGAACCTCCTTAGCAACTTGTCAGTCCGGGTATTACGACCTTTGGTCTCTATTCGGGCTCTAATTTGTCTGACCCCATGATCTCAGGTATATGAGCCCACATCAACAAGAACCAGACGGCTTATCGCCCACCGCAAATATTGCAAGCGGCGAGCATAGAGTGGTAAGAGCTAGCAATCGCCAGCTCTCTGCTTTGTCCTCGCCCCTGAACCTATAATGCATCTTGGCCTAGCCAACACCAATAGCGGAGATGTGATTGCTACATCATGGGATGCAGAGGATGGACTAGTGAGAGCATATATGGTTATTGCATCATGCCTGGTAAAAGGGAGCTCTCCCTACCGCCTTTGCATATGACTACAATGGCCCGGGACCCAAGTACAGCCAGCCGCACTCCGACAAGCCCAGCCAAGCCTATCAACACACTAACCGATGGAACCTATCTGGTGGGCGTTATCCTCAAAAATAAATACATGAGAGCCCCTGGTCCTTCTAGACATCAGGGGCATACATAAGTAACCAACTACACACAAGTCCCGGACACACAAGCCCCGGTTACCTAAGACCGAAACAGGGAACAGATGACAATGGCACAATCCTTCAAACACATTTGAAGAACAGTGTGCCAACTGGCCGAGGAAGAAAACAAGAGATCAAACGCCATATATCGAGGCTCATGTAGTTTAGATCATGCAAGGCTCTACCGACCAAACTCTGTATACCTCCCGAGTCCAAAGAAAATCAACAGTCTTAAAATGTAAGACGGACAAAGTCCATCCAGGGGCACAGTGGTGACCAAAACGCCCAAACGCCGCCCTCCCAAGCCAGGCCAGTGCCGTGAGCCCTATTATCTTGCCAATGCACCAACAAACCGCCGCAGCCGCGCGCTCAGCTCCGAAGCGCCTCCAGCCGGTTCCGCATCTGGTCCATCATAGCCTCCGTCTCATCTTCCTCCTCCTCCTCCTCAGCCCGGGCAGGCGTCGGCTGCTGCTGGGCAGGCAGCGGTACGCTCGGCAGGGCGCCCGTCTTCTCCATCTTGTCCTTGAGGATCTCGCCCAGGACCTTATCGACCTCGCCCTCGGCCTCCTCCTCCTCGTCCTCGAGATCCGCCTCGGGCAAGCTGTCGCCCACCATCTCCTCGATTATGCCCGCCTTCATCAGCTCCACACTCAGCTCCCGCATGGTGCCGGCCAGCTCGGGCAGGCGCACGAGGGCGTTGACGTCGCGCATGACGCCGACGCTGGCCCGGATGCTGCCCTCGATCTTGCGCAGCGCAAACGCCTCGTTGACCTGCATCTGCACGCTGCCGAGCTGGGCCTTAGACGTCACCAGGCGGGCGCCCGTGCGGCGGGCGCGGATCAGCTCGTGGGCGAAGCCGCGCACCTCCTTCTGGGCCTGCTTGGCCTGGCTCGGGTTGCGCTGGCCGCGGCGGTCGGCGGCCACGATCAGGTTCTTGGTCTTGAGCTCGACGGCCTTGACGGCGGCGATGTCGCGGTCGAGCTTGCGGATGTTGGAGCGGATCAGGGCGTTGCATTTCCGGATCTGGGGAAGGGGGTTAGCGTTGTCTGTGTCCCTTGCTGTGTCCATCACGGCTGCTGTCGTGCTGGGGAGAGGAGGTGACCGGGGGTTGGCTGCGCACCTGAACCTGGGGATCCGGCTTGCCGAACATGGCCTTTAATGTCTCCATGGCTGCACACGCACAAGGCAGTCGTGGGAAATTCGAGTGTGTTGTGCTCTGTCGGCCGATGGCGCCGCGGACGCTGACGTCGTTGGCGATGACCGAGGGTGTGGGATGCGGCGTCTTGGCCTTAGTCACGGGACTTAGTCACGGGATGGGAGTGTCGTTTCGCTATGAGCCTCATTAGGCGTCAGCGCCACAAGTTGGAGAGCGGCCCACAGCTCGCGAACTCGCCCCGCCCTCTCCTCTAACTAGCTCGAACACCCCGCAGCCCCGGGCTATCGGCGGGGTTCAATCATTGATGATGGCTCGCTGCCTTGGCTTTCCTTCTGCCTCACTATCGTCCTCTCGTCTCTGTCTGCCACCTGTTGGCAGACTGATTACGGTATGTAGTGTACATAGTTTGCTAAGTAGGTACGTAAGGCATCCTAGTTTTAAACCCGTGTGCAGGAAACTGTACACTATATCCAATCCAAAGTCTGTTTGAAGGCGACAAACAAGTTGCTCAACCGTTTCCCCAGCTTACTATTCTTTCGTTCCAGGCCAGCCTGTGCGTGCGTCCGCTGTGTGTGGTGGCTTCGGCAAGTCTTGCTTCTCAGTCCTGTGGCTGTTATTGTCCAATATTGAAGACATAGATATTATTAGTAGGAGGAAAAAAGAAACCCGTTCCGGCGATGTAGCTAGCCTCGTCATGCCAAGTGTAGGACGTCCATTTGTGGTGTATTGTGTAATTGATGATGGATCATGAATCACGGCTTCCAGAAGGGTGCCTGCGTAATGCCAGCGACAATGCGCATTATGATCCCCCTCATGCGCGGTTCTAGAAAGCTCGCGTGGACGAAAAGCTCAGTGTTTGGACTCTGCTTCAGCCCTGTCGTGGTCCGTGTGCGCGTCGAATCTTTAGGCTTCTTATGAATTCCACCGTCACCCCCCCTCGGCAAGGCAGTGCAAACCACTGGCGGCAGTGGCAGCCTCACAAACATCCACCTCAGTCCCACCTCAATCCACCCCTCGCAACCTTCCCTCTCCACGACGCTACGCACCTTTCCCAATTGCAAAGCCGTCGATAAAATCGGCTTTCCCTCGCTATCTCTCAAAAAACATCGCCGCCGCTCTCACAATTTACCCACGCCGTATCGCCTTGTCTGCCAAGGTTACGCAGCGCCGTTTTTTTTTTTTATCTAAAGCACCACCAAGAGCTACCCCTCCTTCCACGCACAAGTTCGGTATTCACACGACACACAAACAACCCCACAACTCTCGCAATGGCCTCCTTAACACCCGAGGGTGAGTACTTCCATCTGATTCCGCCGAGCCACTTTCTCCGATTCAGGAGACTCCCGATATGCGCTGGCGAGCCTCGTTCCGCTGCGCATTTTGGCTTTTGATGTTGTCGGACGGGCTGGCTCGGTTCCCCTCAGTCTCCTCACCGTAAATCACGACAGCTTGCTAATCACGGCCTGTTATCCCACACTGCAGTCCTCTGGGCGCAACGCGCTTCCAAGTCGGAACCCGAGAAGAACTTCATCTACCTGACCATCAAGGTGGCCGATGTGCCCGCGTCCAGCCTCAAGCTGGACCTCAAGCCCACGGGCCTGACCTTCAGCGGCCACTCGGACTCGCTGAAGCGGGACTACAGCCTCGAGCTCGAGTTCTACGGCGAGATTGACCCCGCTGAGAGCAAGATCCACCACAGCGGCCGCGATGTCGAGATAATTCTGCGCAAGAAGGAGCTTGATGATGCCTATTGGCCCCGCCTGCTCAAGGAGTCCAAGAAGTCCCATTTCCTCAAGACCGACTTCGACAAGTGGGTCGATGAGGATGAGCAGAACGAGGCCGCCGAGGAGGACTTCTCCAACTTTGGAGGCATGGGTAAGTAGTATTTTTGTCTTCCCCTTGAAAACAAGCTTCGAGAATAATGCGCGCTGGACTGCATACCATTGGCCGCCATCTTCATACTTTGCTTGCTCCCCCCCCCCGTTTCTCTCCCCTCGCTAAACATTTTTGGCATCTGCAGAGGGAATGCCTGGCATGGGTGGCCCGGGCGGCATGGGTGGTATGGGCGGCATGGGCGGCATGGGCGGCATGGGCGGCATGGGTATGTACACGGAGGGCAGAGAAAAAGACCAGATTCGAGACGCGGCAGACCGGCCTCCTTGATGATTACACTGTGGGCATTGTTTTGCTAACCTAGCTTGTATAGGTGGCGCTGGCGGCGACTTCGGCGGCATCGACTTCTCCAAGCTTGGCGGCGGCGGCGGCTTCCCTACTGGCGAAGAGGATGAGGAGGAGGAGGGTGACGAGTCAGAGGATGACATGCCCCCCCTCGAGAACGAGGAGGAGGAGGAGGCCGGCGACAAGAAGGTCACCGAGGTCAAGGACGCATGAAGGAATTAACCGCGAATGCAGTTTGATGGCATCAAGGGCTAGACAGCCGGTCGACCGGGGCTTTGGCTTCGACAGTTTCGTCGGGAAATACTAAAGGCTGTGGAAAAGCATTGCGAACTGCTTTATGAGAGAATCTCTTTAGGCAGGGGATGGACCAATGGAGCAACTTGACCTTTGGCGAAATGGAAATTCTGCTTCAGCTACGAACTCCAAGGCCGATCGGATCTTGCGTGGACATGTGTATCGGGTCTGGACTTGGATGGAGGGACACACGGTGTCTCATCCCCCAGGCAATTAATTATTTGTTCTCGTCTTCCATCGCGTCCCGAGTCACTGGGACTGTTCTATGGTGTATGTCTCGGGTCTCAAGTGAGCTGGCCAGTTATTTTCTGTCTGTCATACATCACCAGCATCCCCAGCGAGGCCCCCAGATCGCGCCACCATTCCCGTTTTGCATGACTTTGAGTGCGTTATCTTGTGCGCCACCACTGTTTTACATGTTTCTATCCGCCCCTCTTGCCATTTCATTATCCCGATGTTTATTCCCCGGTGGTGGCACTGAAATGCAGGATCGAAGTCGATGCGGCATGAGCGTTCCCAGCCAACTGCGGCTGAAGGTGCCTGTCGCCCCCTGACCCAAGGGATCGATGGGAGGGCTTGCAGGACCCAACATCGATCAAGATGGGCGAATCAAGAGGCACGATCAGACAGCACAATACAAGAAAAAGGACCAGAAGGACAGACATCGAAGACGCATGCGATGATGACTGCCGCGTTAGTTTCCTTCCCTTCGCTCCTTCTACATACTGCTTACCTAGGACGTACGGATAAGTGAGAGGGAAGACAGC